CGCGCACACCCAGCAGCCGAGAGGCTGTGCAGAGGGGCTTGAATTCCTGGCAGCAGCAGGGAGGGAGCCGGCCACCTTCCCGGCTGCAGGAAGGCGGCCTGGAGAGCCACAGCCCCAGCGTCTCCAGCTGCAGCCCCCAGCCCAGCCCACTGCAGCCCGTGCCCCCGCACAGCCACAGCATGCCGGAATTCCCTCGGGCGCCTTCCCGCCGGGAGATTGAGCAGTCCATCGAAGCGCTCGATGTCCTCATGCTGGACCTTGCACCCACTGTCCACAAGTCACAGAGCGTGCCTGCTGCCTCCCGCCAGGAGAAGCCGGCGGGGCCCCTGCTCTCCTCCCTCTCAACTCAGCCCATTGCTGGTCTCTATGCTCGGCCGACTCCACAAGTGGTCCAGCCGAGGACCTTCAGCAGTTCTGTGAGCCCTGTGGTCTCCGAGCCTGGGGGCAAAGCCTGTTCTCCTGGTGAGCCGGACTATGGGGTGCGTGAATACCGGGAAACCTACTCACCCTACACCTACCAGCCAGCACCAGTGCTGGAGCCAAGGAGCTACAGCCATGCCCCGGCTGGAGAGCCAGCAGGCATCCTCCCACTCAGCACTTCCTACAGCCCTGGGGGGTCTCAGCAGCTCCTCGTGTCCTCGCCGCCGTCCCCCACCGTCCTGCCACAAACCCAGATGCCCCCCAAGGGACTGGACAGCTACGAAGACCTGTCGAGGTCAGCAGAAGAGCCCTTGAATCTGGAGGGCCTGGTGGCCCACAGGGTGGCAGGTAGGATGCTTTGATTCCTTGGGGGAATGGGGGAACCGCATATCCCAGACAGCCGGAGCCTACGGGGGTGGTGCATGTGAAGCTGGGGATAGGATGTGCAGCGACTCCTCTTATCTGATGGATCCAGGCTTGGGTGGCAGCGTGTGCCCCTCTCCTTCACCAAGACCACCCCACCTTGCAGCTTGCTGCCTGGAGAAGCATTGCCCAGAGATGGGGAGAAGGGGTGGCTGAGGTGATTGGGCCTCCCCATCGTCACCCCTTTGGGCTGTGGGCTGGTCTGCCCCTGCAGCAGGGCCACTTGCTGGGTCCTGGGGGGATTTCTCCCATTTGGGAAGGATGTGTCTGAGTTCGAGAAGATGTTTTTGGCTTTGGCCGAGAGTGTTCTGCCTTGAAGCAACTGGGCTTCTCCCTCATGGCAGCCCCTGTTTTTCCTCAGTGTGCTGGACTTGGTACTTGGACCTCCTCCCTGGTGCTCAGACACCCGCCTTGGGCAGCTGTGGTGCTGCTAGAGCAGGAGTGGCAGGATTCAGGCTGGCAGCAGCCTTTCTACCCTAGTGGCCCAGCCAGCTTAGCTCTGGGTATTTGGAAGCTGGACCTGGCCTTGGAGTGGTGGTTAGGGGAAGGCATTTCCCAGCCCTGCCAGAGGGGTTTGGTGTGATGCTTGGCTGGATGCAGCACTGAGCATTGGTGCCATGGCTGGATGAAGGCCACTGAGGGAAAATTGAGGGGAAATTAATCCTCTGACTCCCTGCCCTCCTGTTGGCTCCAGTTCAGGGGCTCTGGGGATGCAGAGGGTCCCAGGCCCCAGGGAAGGAGGTGCTGTGGTCCTGTAGGAGCTCGGTGCCCACCTTCCCTGCTGTTTCAGCTGTAGTTGTTGAGTTATGGAATGACATTTGGGAACGGTTCAGGGCTGTGGCCAGGCTGGGGGCCCGCTCGTGATGCTGGGGCTTGGTAGCTCCGTCCCTTCCAGCTCTGCGCTCAGTCCAGAAACTCGCCTGGCATTAGCAGGAGGGAGAAAAGGCTTGGCTGGAAAAATCCAACAGCACAAACTTACCAGGAGCAGGGGTTGAGTCACTAGGAAGGGAGACAGGAGAGGTGGCAGCGGCGGGTAGGGGTGCAGGGGTGGGTGGCAGAGGTGTTTGGAGCAGTTTGCCTCCATCCAAATGTGACCTTGGTGATCCAGGCCAGATCCACAAAGGGATCCAAGGCTTGTGCAGAGGGTTGAAACAAACCCAAGGACATATGGATGCCTAAATGGTGCTGTATGTCTGGACTGATATTATAAGGAGGAGATACCCTCCCCAGCCATGGAGTGGAAAAAATGGGTTGGAAAAGAGGAAAGCCCTCAAGAGAGGAGGAACAAGATTGAAAGTGGGTGGCAAATAACTGTTTGATGGTGTCTACCAAAAAAATCTATCCATTCTGATCCTGGGGTCAGGTCTTCAAGGCTGGGCTGGGGTCACTGTCATCCCCCTGCAGCCACTGGGCTTCCTGGGGAGGTGAGGTGGCCCACGGCCCATGGCCACCTGTCCCTGCTGGAGTCTGGCCGTCTGTGCCGAGGTGGGGACAGCGCAGGCAGGCAGCCTGACCTCTGTTGGGAACGAGGTGTCCCAAAGCCAGTGTGGGAGGGGCTGGCCAGTGTGTATGGTGGAGCACGGAGGGGTTTGTTTACATTCCCTGCTGCTATAAATTGCCTGCTTGTCCCAGCGAAGCCATGAGGAGCATCTCACACCTCCTCCATGCCCAGTGGGAAAGTGCTCGTGTTCCTGCTTCCCACTGGTGATGGAGGGGAAGAGGTGGGGCAGGACTGCACTGGCATCCCATTGCCTCCCCAGAGAAGAGCCAGTCTTGCCATCCTTCAAGACCCCTCATCTCCCAGCAGGGCGTTTGGGGTCATCACTTACTTTCGCAGCCTGGGAATCCCATGATGGAGGGAACCTGCAAAGTACCATCCCCAAGTCATGGGGCTTTTTGTGGTGTTGCACCAGGCCATTTTGGGCTGCCACCATTGATTTCCTATGTGAGTTTAGGTGGTGCCTGGAGCTAGGCAATTTGGGTGTTGGGAAAGCAGCTTGATGCAGGGTCTGAGCTCCCTCAGACCCCAAGCAACCCCAGGCTCATCTGTTGGAGCTCAATTAATATTTTCTATTGTTTTCTCTCTCTCTCTCTCCCTATTGTATCTTGTGACATTTGTCCTGTCTGCCCTGTCCTCTCCCTATGGGGGACTGTGTCTGTCCCTGTCACTTCCAACACTCCTTGCACCCCCTTGTCCTGATATGCTGGCAGAGTACAACGCCAAGCTCAGGGAACTCAACAAGAGCATCAAAGTCCCCCGTCCTCCTCTGAACCAGCAACGGTCCTTCTCTGGTTTGTTCATTCCACCTCCCTCCTTCCTTGTCCCCCAACCTTCCTCATCCATCCTTCTCATTCCCTCTCCTCCATTCTTTCCTCTCATCCTTCCTTCCTTTTTCCCTTCTTCTCTCTCCTCCCTCCTTCCCTACCCCTGCATGCTGAGTGCTCTGTGTGTTGCATGGTTGTGTGATGGAGGGAGGCTCAGGAGACCCTCCCCATGCAGGTTTGATCCCCTTTCTCAGTAGAGTGATGTTCAGGGCATCATGTGTCCCTGTCTGGCTTTAACTGCTAGGTGCTGCATCCCGAGGGCCATGGATGGTGCTTTGCCCTCTCATTTCCACCATGGGGGCATTGCTTTTACCTGGCAATAGCTCCAGCATCTCATGCCCCAAAAGCAGCTGCCTCCTGATGAGGTCCAGAAACGCATCTCCCCAGCTGCAAAACCACCTGGATTGAAATCCCTCTTGCTTCTTCCTCCCCAGGCTGTTGTGCTCCTGCCCTTCCTTCTCCAGCCCTGGAACTGTCTGTAGTCCAAGGGCAGGACTTTGCCTGGAGAGGGTTGCTGCCAGGTTAGGAAGTTAAATGGGCAGCAGAAGGGGTGGCAGTGCCAGAGGTGATGGGGGACAAGGGTGGGGAGTGGGGTGCAGGATGCTGTTCCCTCTTTCAGCTGTGATGGGGAACCCCAATTCTTGCAGCCCGGCTGCAGCTCTTGGGGAGCTGCTGGTGGGGCCATGGCTAAGGGAGGCTGTATGTCTGCTGAGGGGGCACAAGTGGGCCAGGGAAAGGAGAGTTTGTTTTTCAAGTGTAGTTTCCACTCCATAAATCACCCAGGGGGTTGAGGGAGCTATGCCCAGAGCCTGGGTTTCCTCCAGGCTTTGCTCCGGGCTGCCCGTGAAGTTTCCCACTCTCGGCTCCCAAACAATGAGTCCCTTTTTTCCCTTCTCCTCCCTCCCCTCCCAGCGGCCCCGGCTGCTTTCTGTGTCTGGGGAGTGGAGCAGCCAAAGCCCAGTGAGCTCCTGGGTGTCCCGACGGGCTGGGTCCATCTCCCTCCTGGGTGACGTGCAGCCCTGGGGATGGAGCAGGGGGTCTCACGCTGCAAAGGTGTGATGTACACTGACAGCTGGGCTCTGCTGAGGGGCTGCTTGTCCTTCCCAAACGAAAAATGTAAAGCAAGGCAGGCGTGGGCAACTCGAGGAGCCTGGTCCTTGCCTCATTGCAGTGCTCTCAGTCTCTGCAGCTCACTGAGATGGGCCAGGGGATGCTCCTGGTGTTGCTCTTGCAGCACGCAGGAGAAAATACAGAGGTCTGCTCTGTTCCACCCGACTTCCCCCATTTTGTTTCAACTTTTTCTTGCAGTTCAGGACTTCATTCCCTTAAAGTGAGGAGCGGGGAAAAAAAAATGCTGCCCCTTGGCCATCGCCATCTAAAGGGCAGCTTCTCAGAGACCCGCTTGGTTCCCCTGACCCCACCACGGGCCTTTTTAATGACTGTCGCCCGCGCTGGCGAGCACCTGCAGGAGGGATCGGGGAGTTATGTTTCAAAGCTGCTCTTAGTGGAATTTTCCAG